CCCCCCCCCCCCCCCCCCGCTGTCTTTAACTGCCTTAACATGGTCTTACATGGCCTAAACAGCTTGAGTACATAAAACTGGATTCTCATAAGTTATAACAGATCTTTTCGCAAACAATGCATTCTGTAATTACATGTACCACAAAATACCTGCAGTCAAAACTCGATCCTTAATACGAAAACCAAAGGGGCGGATCAAACTAGCTGACCACCTTGCGTAACAAAGGTGACTGTTTTTAGAAATAGCTTAAGGGACTGTTTGAAAAATGATATCTTTGAGACCATTAGAACTATCCTTATTAGAGTGGTGCCTTTATTATAGAAAAAGAGATTGTATGAATTTTGTTATCTTTGTGACTAATACGACTGTTTGTACGGCATATGTGGTGGGGATTCTTTAAATTTGGAAATCCGTAAGGGGCACTCACGAAGGTGTCTATAGGGAAAGGTTCCACTGCGGTAAATAATGTTCTCGTTTAGGGACCAAAAAAGTCTCCTTTTTTTTCAAAAAGAAGAACAGCAAAAAATTTGCTATCTTTGATTTAAAATTTTTGTGCTTTTGTTAGTTTCTGTGCAAAAAAACCAATTAAAAACCTAAAACAAACGTTACAGCACAGAGTCCGGCCTTCAACAAAAATAATTTCTCACATGATACGTTTGATGCTTAATATCAGTCTGTAGAGTTTTTTTGAATGTCGCTAGCCTACTGGAAAGCTCATTCTCACCTGGTGCAAACAGCGCATGTCAGCTCTCGATGCTGAACACAGGGAAGACATGAAAGAGAGCCACAATTCCCTTCCACGTGGTACAGCGAGGCGCCATTCTGGTCCTAATTGCTCAGTGTCAAGAACATACTCTTGGTCTTTGTCATCACAGACGTAATCCTCTTGGGTCGCATGATAGTAATATGCAGTCATCAGGTACCCATAATACTCCTCGGTCCATCAAGATGGACAGTCATTCTGTGCTGGGATCATCACCCTTGAGTCACGTGACTTGACAAAGTACACAGCACAAGGCGCATCGTGATCATAGAGATTGCTCTTGAAAACAGACCCACTGTAATCACGTCCAGTTTTAATAATTTGTTTCCTTATTTCCGCTGAACGCACATTGTTACCCGTAAGATTGTTATGCGTGCAGCACGATTTTAGTGGCAAGAGCCTGATCTAAATTGACCCAAACAACGTCACAGTAGTCTACATCGCAGACAGATAGAAAAACAGACAATCACACACTTTATTACAGCACGGAGACAAGTTTCTTTAATTCCAGACAGACAGACAGACAGACAGACTGTTGACTGCCTGAGTGACTGCCTGACCGACAGACAGAACGACAGACAGATAGCCTAACTTAAGTATGGAAGTGAATCAGAAAAGTAATTACACGATCAAATCTCAATTCTTTCGTCAGACTTTTTTTAATAATCATCTTCAAAAGTATTAAGTACAATGCACCTGTAACGCACACGCTGTTACAGTTCCTGTCGGCAGCGGCAGAATGTTAGGGCCTTCATCCACTTTTTATTTATATTTATATCAGGGCTATTTTGACGCAGGATGCTGGGTACGACAAAGGGAGACAAATAAAGTTGGCGGGGAGAAAAATGAACCTAAGAGAGGAAGGCTGGTGGATCAGTGAAGATCCGTCCGAGGGGTACACCAAGAAGGGAATGTTTTTGTACATGTGTCTGAGACTGACTTCTCTATCTTTCCCTAAACGCAAACGCTGTAACTCTAATAAGATATCTTGTCCCAGATCCATAACTTCCTAAAGGTGATAAGGCACCGGGGAGAGACGGAAACCTGAAATGGGATATCCTCTAAAAGCAAGGAACCTAGTTGTGTTAGAGTGAACACACTCGTTTAAGCTTAAATTAAACATGAACAGATCGGCAAAGTCATCCCCGCGCCCCAGATCCAAGAACTACTAACAAACTCCGTTTGAAGATCTCTCTTATATCAGTTGGCAGTGTTAAAGAACTGTGCCAAATGGCAAACTATATTGTAACAAGTTACAACTACTAACTGCTTCCATACCTTCATAATGTGCTTGCACGATTTGATGGCTACTTACGGCGAAGTAATGTGCGAATAAATTCTGGTTCGTTTAATTTTATCCTATTCATTTATATATGGAGAACGAAGAAGGCAACCTTCATTTTCAAACAATCGTATTTAATTAATGACTACTATTTACATTTCTGATGATCTTATTTGTATTGTAGCAGTCACTTTGTGTCGTATTTTTTCACTAGGTTTCTCCTTTCCCTGCTTGATTATTGCGTTTATTGTTCCAGTCGAGTGGATGCCGAAATTTATTCAGGACCCAATGTTATAAAGATTAAATTAGTAAACAAATGTCATGAAATTTGTTTGATGTCTAAATGTATGCAAACGAAAGTGTGAAATAGTCAATAGCACAGTTCTTCCTATAAGACAGAGGATCTTGATGTGCTTAATTCTAACTCGTACGCTAGTTAATTGAAATTTGCTAAAATGCACACTTTATTCTTTTCCCGACCTCGAGTTTGGCTAAGCGTTAAGAATTAAAATAGGTCGACGATGTTGACAGCGTTATTATGAAGCCTTCAAAGGACAAAATGTAAAACAGGAAAGGTAATTTGCAATTTTGCGAACACGAAAATTTTCTGCTTGTCATTATCAGTGTCCCAAGGCTCTTGATATCGTGGTAGACAAATTAATTATAGAACAGTTCTCGTTTCCTCAACCAGAATAATTACCTATCGTGAGAAAACGGTGATTTAATTTTTGGAAGTCTTGAGATGAATCACGGTAAATCTGAGAAGAAACCCAAAAGGAAATGCTTGTCTGACCTAGTGTCCCCACACTTGCTTGTGTGCGTTGTGTTAGCTGCGACGTGCGCTGCTTTGGTGGTTGTCATCCTTCAGATGGATCGACGTATTTCTGCGTTCAACCACACTTTGGAGGAACTGCGTCGAGAAGGCAAACAAACCTCTACTGCTAACATCTCTGCAACGGTGTCTTCTGCATTGGACACTAGAGCAAAGAGGGCAATTTCAAACACAACTCCCGGTCAGAAATCAGACATTGAAAAGCGATTGAAGGCTGTGGAAGAAAGGCGAGTTAAACGAAATCAGATTATAATCATAAGTTTAAAAACGCTCCCTAATCTCTGTATGATATCTCAGTCAGTTTCTGTTATTAAAGAATAGCTCGGACAATCGGAGGATGAGTTCTTAATGGTATGGCTATTTTGCTGTTGTTAGACGTGCGCGTGAAGGGTCAGTGTGTCTTTTTGGCAAAATAGACTCTAGAATGAATGGATCAGTATTGTAGTGAAATAGAAGCTAGGGAAGAAAAAAAAAAACTTAAAAGCTAGTTCCCCAAAGTTTTCTGTCGAAATGATGTTAACAGTGAGCCTTTCATGACCGCTCATACTCCAATTACTAATGAAAAATTGCTCTGTGCGTATGATCGTCATAGCTTGCGATGGCAAGCTCTTGAGGTGCTACTAAGCTACTAGAATTAAAATCCTGCCAGAAATGCACGTTAATGAAAGTAAACTTTTTTTTGGCAAGGAGCTCTTGTTAGTAAAAGTCGTAACAACAAAATTTATACCAGAAAAACACTATGTATGCCCCAGGATGGACATCGGGCGTGTTGATAGTAACCGCGAAAACGTCGCCTAAAAATCAGCAAAAAAAGGCTTTTTTGTGACCAATTTGAAACTTTGTAACAGTTTTGTAGAAGTTCTACCTTTCAGTTTAGAATGGAGCAACTGCGACACGAAGTTTTATAAAGACGCAAAACAGAACTTCACATAAAACGCAAAAACAATAACCGCTAAAAAAACGAAATTCGAAAAACCGCAGAGATCAAAAGTAAAACCGGAAGTGATTAAAAACCACAAAACCGCAAACCCAGCAACTCAGTTAAAGTTAGGGTATATTTCTTTCTTCTTTACTTTCAGGCTCGGAGCGCTAATAAACAAGTCGGATTTTTTTGCCAGCAAATTGATGGTTCAAAAGCGCTATTCCTACATAGCTCGAGGTATTGTAATTCACATGTAACGTAAAAAATCGGGATTCTTTCTAGTCTTTTCTTTGAGGGCCTTAATGCGTAAAATGGTAACTGGGATATGATAATTTCCTTGAGACTTGATTCAATACTATCTTGCGTTAGTTATTCCATCCATGTAAATAACTTCACTTCAAATTTTGATTCATTACAGGGCGGGACGGCCGCGATGGAAAGGATGGTCCCACAGGTCCACCAGGATTACCAGGCAACCCCGGATTGCCTGGTGTTGGGTCTCCTGGGAAAGCTGGGTCTCCTGGGAAAGCTGGGCCTCCTGGTAAGGACGGTTCACCTGGCAAATCTGGGGCAAAAGGTACTCAACTTTGATAATTTTTCGTTCTTTAACAGCGAGAAAGTGAACATAAACTGATTTGGTACTTTTTCTGGAAGAATCCTTCAACCGTGTATTTCTGACCTCTCACAGGAGATGCAGGTAAGCCGGGCGTTAACAGAACGTTTTCAGGCCCTCCTGGTCCCAAAGGAGAGAGTGGTAAATAATTTAACTTTGGATTTCCTTTCATTACAGGACGAGACGGCCGCGATGGATTACCTGGAAAACCAGGAATACCAGGAAACCCCGGAGTACCTGGTGTTGGGTCCCCTGGGAAAGCTGGGCCTCCTGGTAAGGAAGGTCCACCTGGCAAATCTGGGGCAAAAGGTATTCTACTCTAATTAACTTTGATTCTTTAACAGCGAGAAAATGAGCAAAAAAGTGTCTATCGAGATCGAGCTATTAGCCGTACTTGACATTTTCCAAAAAAATTTCAACGTTGCACTTCTTACCACTCAAAGGAGATGCTGGTAAGCCGGGCGTTAACAGACCTTTTCCAGGCCCTCCCGGTCCCAAAGGAGAGAGAGGTTCTGCTGGAAGTCCTGGCTTGAAAGGGCCTCAAGGAACCAAAGGCGAAAAGGGAAAGGAAGGAGCTGGGAAGTCTGGAGTGAAATATGTTCGCTGGGGAAGGACCACCTGTCCAGGAGGTGCTGAGGTAGTTTACAAAGGTTCGTCAACACAGACACTTTATGTAAATCAACAGTGTATTCTCTACAGCACAGAGTTTTAGGTACTGGTTTAATAAAGCAACGCTAAGTTATTTCCCTTTTTTTCCCTTAAAGTTAGTGACAGAGACCATTACTGTGACATTTTAAGTTTGCAGAAACAGTGTTCCACTGGATAATATAATGTCTATAATTTGTTGCTTTCTAGTCTTTTTACAAAAGGGGCAAATCTTCCCCTCGTTCACTCCAAATGCCCGATAAGTTTGTGACATCTTGAACATTTATTTATTTATTGATCGAAAATTGAAGAGAAGTTTCAATAATAATTAGGTTTTATCTGATAGAGGTTCATTACTATGACAGTTCGAGTGCAGTAAATGCAGTCAATAATTTGTTTTGGACAACTTGGACCCACATGTGATATGCAGTTTGTTATGACGATATTTTGTTCTTCGGTGCTGACAGTCACCAAGACTAAGGGGAAATTTGTGGCGAGGTCATTTGAGAGTGGAGTGATGTTCCCCTATAAGCCTGTTAAAGTATGTAGTTTATCATCCTCAGGTTTGATGGGAGGTAACGCTCACCATCACCAAGGTGGTGGTCACTGCAAACAGATGAGAAGAGTTTTAGCAATTACCTTTTATCTCAGAGATTTATTAACGTTACAGTTCGAGTGCAGTAAATCCAGTTTGTTTTAACAATACTTTCCTCTATCGTACTGTCAGTTACTAAGTAAAGGAAATTTGTTGTGCGTTCACTTTATAGGAGAGTAATGTACCTTTGTAAACTTGTAGTTTGTCATCCTCAGGTTTAATGGGAGGTGAGCGGTACAATCACCAAGGTGGTGGAGTAAACTATCTTTGTCTTCCACACAATCCAAAGTACGACAGGTATAACGATGGCAATCAGTACTCAGGATATGTGTACGGTGCTGAATATGAGGTCAATACCTACAGTGGGTATCCTTTCAGACGAAATCTTCATAATCACGAGACGCCTTGTGTTGTCTGCTTTGTCAAGTCACGTGGTACAATGCTGATGATGCCCGCACGGAATGACTGTCCTTCTGGATGGACCGAAGAGTACCATGGGTACCTGATGACGTCATATTACAGCCACCCGAACCAAAAAGACTTCGTCTGCGTTGACAAAGACCCAGAGTATGTTCCGGGGACTAGTGGGAACAAGGATGGTGGCTTGCTATACTTCGTGGAAGGGGGTTGTGGCTCACTTCCCTGCCCTCCATATGTTCTGCATCGAGAGCTGACATGTGCTGTTTGCACCAAGTAATAAAACTTCTCTCGTCAATCTCAGAGAATCAGCTTGTAATCATGGCTTAAAAATAAAACTGGAGAAGAAAATGAAAATCGATCTCGAGTCAGTTTGTATGACTGCTATAAAAGCTGTTTAGCCTGCCTGGCATGCGTCAGTTAGTTTTTTTTGGTGAGTTTTATAGAGGACTCCACCCCTCCTTTTCTCCCCTCGTGCGCGCATGCGTCCTCGATATTTATCCATTTACCCAAAAACTCTGGCTCCTGCAGGGCAGGCTGAAAGCTGTCATGATCTGAAAGGTTTGAAGGTGCTTTTTCAAAATGTATCTCAAAAGTAGGAATGAAATTTAGGCTTTGCAAAAGCCGCGAGAGTTCGATCAGTTATTTATTATTTTCTCGATCTAGACTATTTGAGTACTCGCCCAGCCCCTGGGCAATGATCACAATAGAGATATTACCCTATACATAGTTTTTTTCTCACACGGGACTACGAAACAAGTATCTTTACTGGACATGCTTCTTGCAACATAACAAAAACAGAACAAGAAGAAAAGAGTTGTTTACATAAAGTACACCGTGGAGGAAATGAGAAGAGAGACTGAGAGGAGAGGAGGGCTGGTGAATCTTTGCTACTGTTCTTGTTTCCAGGCGATTCAAAGGGCGAAGATAGGTCTGACGGAGGCCACTCAGCTGTTGTCTCAGGAATGTGTTTTGTACATGCATTTAAGTATAATTTTAAGTCTCCGGTTATCCTGTCACAAACCTTGTTCTTCATTTAAGAATTTCCTGAAGCGATAACGCGTTTAAAAGAGAAGGAAGACTGAAATCCGTATTCTGGCCAAAGCATAGAACTTAGTTCATTTAAGGTGGCTCGACTGCATTTTTCAGGGGCAGTATGTACCTCCCAAGTTTGAGGATTTTACGTCACCATTAACAAAAATGGAGGAAAATGATCACTGCAGCTGTTAGGGAGACAAAGACAGTAACATTTTTCAGGGTCAATGTTATGCAATTGACCCTCCATGTGCGACCACCTCTCGCAAGCGACCACCTCCCATAAGCGACTGCCAATCCAAAACACCAAAATTTTCCCAGTCAAAGCGTTACAGTTGGAACCTCTAGTGAACGACCACCTCCTGTAAGTGACCGCGACCGCTTTTTGGGCCTGATGGTTACTGACTTTCCATTGTTTTTAAACTCTTGTTAGCGACCACTTGACACATTCTCTAGATCTGATCTACCTCTTTGTTCGCTGCGTGCACTTTGCTGCTAAGACTAAACGAAGAACTTTAGTGACAACATGGAACTACACAAGGCGTAACTTAGATATTGCATGCAATATGGACCTCTTCTCTTGGCCTTCCCCGATTGTGCTCGTAAAATGCTAGAAAGTTGGTCACTGGAATGCCAAAAAGTTGCTACCTAAATTTCAAAAGTTGCCACCTAAATTTTTTGATATTTTTATATTAACGTTAATTAAAAGCTTTATTTTTCGTCCTTCACAATAATTACTAACATCGGTCACGAAAAAAAAAACAACTTAAAAAAATAAAAATAAATTTAAAATAAATTTAAAAATAAAAAAAATTAAAAAAATTGAAATTTTCTATGAAATCTTTGACTTTTTCGTGCTTGATATGTGCTTGAAACCTGTATTTTGCTCAAAATTTGCTCGAGGTTGCTAGAACCGCAAAAAGTTGCTCAAAAGTTGCCGAGCACAATAGGGAAAGGCCTACTGAGTCTTCTCGGAAGAGACCCCCTGTGGTTCGATTCTTGTAAGCGACCACTCAGTCTTTGTATTTCGGGTGGTCGCTCACGGGAGGTTCCTACTGTATTGACATAGGAGTCATTTCTTTCTCCTAGTTTCTGACTAAATGACTTATAGCAGTTATGCCGAATACAATGTTATGAAGCCTTTAATTGACAAATTCAAAACTGGAAAGGTGATTTTGCAATTTTGCGAACACGAAAATTTTCTGCTGCCGTTTATCAGTGTCCCAAGGCCCTTGACTATGTAGTAGATAAATTATTCTCTCTTGTTATAAATCAGTTCTCATTCCTAAACCATGAATGGAGACAATCTGCTTCATTTTTATTACAATTTTTACTCTTCAGTTGGGATTGTAAAAATTCCTCATGACGTAGTTTCCTGTCTTCCTGGCAACTGTAGTATGTAGCGCCTCTTAATGGAACACGCAACAGACGCAGAACAGTTAGCCAAAAAAGTCTCGTATTTTCGGAAAATAGGGCAGGTGATAGCTTAGTGTATTGGCTGGGGAAGTTGGACTTTGAAAGTTAAAAATCAGTAGAAAGTGCAAGTTATTCTGAGTTCTGAGTTGGTGGCGATTTTACTAACAATTGATAACTCGAGGGTCAACATGCCTCAAGAGCCTATGAGCATCAGATTTTTTAAAACTGTACAAATTTACTAAAAATTGGGATAGTTAAGAAAGGATAACAAAAAAGCCACATCGTGAAATCTAAAACACAAGGACCTGACGACTGCGGTAACGCAATTTCTCAATAATACTTTGATCCTGTTTTGTTGTTAGTGGTGATGGAAACATACAGAACAACACAATTAGCCAATAAGGCTACTTTACAGGAAAGTCACTTAAAAACGACATTTCATTTTTGATCTAAAATCTAGGTACCTGTTGTTGACAGCAAGAGAACTAACAGTGAGACTAGCACATTAAATTGACAAACACATTCTGTGACAATTATGTGTACTGGTAGTCTGCGTAGTAGCAGGCGTCGAAAGGGGTAGGGGATTGGGAGAAATTTAGGGAAAAGGGAGGAGAATTGGAGGGTTAATAATTAATTAATAATTAAAACTTATATAGAGCGACTTTCCATATCACATGATCAAATGCGCTGTACAATAAGTTAAAAAGAAAGACTAAAAAATGAATAAAATTTACAGGCAAGTAGAATGATTTAAAAGTGAAATTAAATGACAACAAGTGATAAATAATAAAATAAACGAAACTTTTACTCTACTACAAAGTAAAAGTTTGTTTAAAAAGATATGGGTTTCAATGGGATTATTAGCGCCAGCCGTCAAACGGCCTAAAAGTTAACCTTCAATCGTCCAAAAAAGTTATATTTTACCGTCAACCGATCTTTAAGGTCTGTAGCTTTGGACTCCTGAAGCATCTCTGAGCTGGCCAGTTTGGCATGTCTGAAAAACACACTCTCTAGACATTACAAGACTTTACAACTTTCTTATATTTGAAAAAATTCCCATGTTGTCAAAAATACAATCTGTAGACTTTACAAGGCTTTACAGTTTGTTTATAGATGAAAATATTTCCAAATCGTAAAAGCGACAGGCCAAGAAAACCCCCAAGACCCAAAAGTTACTATTGATTTATACAGAAATAAATACAATGAAACTTCGATATAACGAACCTCTGTATAACGAAGTCCTCCGTATAACGAACGATTTTCTTTACCCCTGTAATAGTAATTAATAATTATTCCTCGAGCCCCAATGGGATCTGAGTCAATAGCCGATGAGGCCGAAGCCATGAGGGCGAGAGGAATAATTGTTTTAGTAAAATCCAACTAGTTGGTAAAAAATATCGAAAATAAAAAAATTTTAGCTAGTTAAAACTAGACTTTAATCCATTTTTGCCCTCCAAAAAGTCCGCGCTTTTCGCTACTAGTGGGCTATAAGATATAGCCTAGTAGTAGCTCAACCAATCAGAACGCAGGATTGATCACCACTAGTTGGATTTTACTAATGGAAAATAACCTCGATATAACGAAACCCCGTTTTATAGCGATCAAATTTTGCCAGTCCCCAGGCCCTTCGTTATATCGAGGTTTCACTGTATATACTTAAATTCTGGGACTAAATTTCTACTTAATAACCGTCAAAAGCTCTAAAATTTATCCGTCAACCGTCGAAGCTACCACCCAGTTGAGACCCTCGAATTGGGGAGAAAGAGTGAGGCTCCCTTTCCTTTTGCCTTTCGCACTTTTCCCCTTCCGGTCCTCCCCCTCCCCCCCCTCTGTCTTTAACTGCCTTAACATGGTCTTACATGGTCTAAACAGCTTAAGTACATAAAACTGGATTCTCATAAGTTATAACAGATCTTTTCGCAAACAATGCATTCTGTAATTACATGTACCACAAAATACCTGCAGTCAAAAGTCGATCCTTAATACAAAAACCAAAGGGGCGGATCAAACTAGCTGACCACATTGCGTAACAAAGGTAACTGATTTTAGAAATAGCTTTAGGGACTGTTTGAAGAATGGTATAAGATATCTTGTCCCAGATCCATAACTTCCTAAAGGTGATAAGGCATCGGGGAGAGACGGAAAACTGAAATGGGATATCCTCTAAAAGCAAGAAACCTAGTTGCGTTCGAGTGAACACACTCGTTTAAGCTTAAATTAAACATGAACAGATCGGCAAAGTCGCCCACGCGCCTTAGATCCAAGAACCACGAACAAACTCCGTTTGAAGATCTCTCTTATATCAGTTGGCAGTGTTAAAGTACTGTGCCAAATGAAACTACATTGTAACAAGTTACAACTACTAACTGCTTCCATACCTTCATAGTGTGCTTGCAGGATTTGATGGCTACTTACGGCGAAGTAATGTGCGAATAATTTCTGGGTCGTTTAATTTTATCCTGGTAGTCATTTATATATAGAGAACGAAGAAGGCAACCTTCATTAAAAAAAATCGTATTTAATTAATGACTACTATTTACATTTCTGATGATCTTATTTGTATTGTAGCAGTCACTTTGGCGATGGTAAGGATGGTCCTACAGGTCCACCAGGATTACCTGGAAAACCAGGAATACCAGGCAACCCCGGATTGCCTGGTGTTGAGTCTCCTGGGAAAGCTGGGCCTCCTGGTAAGGACGGTCCGCGGGGCAAATCTGGGGCAAAAGTTACTCAGCTTTGATTAATTTTACTCAAACAGCTAGAAAATAGGCACAAATTGAAATGTGATCTTCACAGTGTCTATCAAGATTAAGCTAAATATTTGGTACT